ATTGTGAAACCCAGGATTACTTATGGTGCATTGGTCTGGTGGCCAAAAACAAAAGAGAGTGTTGTTCAGAGAAAGTTAGAAAAACTCCAAAGGTTAGCAACTCTCTCAATAACAGGTGCAATGAGAAGTACACCATCGAAGGCATTGGATGCTTGGCTATTATTATTATTTAACTTTATTAGGGAGGCCTTGGGCTGGTTCGCCTCCAAGGTGGATGCTTTGCTTTATATGCTACCATTGCATCAATTTGTACAATTAGAAGCCGAAAAGTGTGCTCTAAGGATTACAAGGTCAGTGAAACTCTTTGAAGGAGACCTTAGAGGACATCTTACGATTCTAAAAAGTGTTAGTATCAACTCTCTAGTAAGGAACAACGAAGACTGGATGGAGAAAAGATACAATTTCAATCGACTTTTTCGAGTAGTTGACCCTGGGTGTAATTCATGGCAATTTGGTGGCCCGGTACTTCGTCCAGGATCGATTGTTTTTTATACAGATGGTTCAAGATTGAACAATCCAGTGGGAGCAGGAGTAACTGGCCCAGGGATAGAAATATCGGTTCCTATGGGCAGGTGGCCAACTGTGTTCCAAGCTGAAATCCAAGTAATTTTAGAGTGTTCCGTTATATGTTTGCGTAGAAACTATAAGAGTTCAAATATATGCGTCATGTCCAACAGTCAAGCTGCTCTAAATGCTTTAAATTCGGCGACATGTACATCAAAACTTGTCTGGGAGTGTGTTCAATCACTTCAAAAATTGTCTTGTCATAATCAAGTCAACTTATATTGGGTTCCTGGTCATTGCGGGATTGAGGGAAATGAAAGAGCTGATGCACTAGCAAGACTCGGATCTTCTCATAAGTTCATCGGGCCAGAGCCCTTTTGTGGCTTATCGGCTGCATCTCTTAGAATGGGGCTAAAAGCGTGGGAATCTTCAAAAGTGGATGAAAACTGGAAGAACATTTCCATTGCTAGGCAGTCGAAGCGATTTATTAATCCAAACATTTCTGTGACCCACACAATCCTGGAACTTTCTAAGAAAGATCTTAGTATATATGCAGGTCTTATAACAGGTCATTGTCTGAGCCGTTATCACTTGAAGCTGATTGGAAAACTTCAAGATGATGTATGTCGCTTCTGTGGCATAGAAAAGGAAGACTCGGAACGTTTGCTATGCCACTGTCCGGCAATTTTCAATAAAAGGCGTAACTTCTTCGACAAGGGGCTGATGCCCCTTTGACATTTGGAGAACAATTCCCAGTACGGCAGTGCACTTTATTCGAAGTATAATGCCGTGCTGGGATAATGCTATTAGTCAAACGATGGCGATCACTCCTAATAATAGTGATACGGCATCTTGATATAGCTAAAGAAAAAAATGGGGAATATATCACAATAGATCAGAAAAATGGTCGCAGTGATGAAAATACCCGACAAGGAAAAAAAAGGGAGGTTACAAACAATACTCCTTTAGCTCAGTCGGTAAAGGCGTAGCTACAAAGCAAGTCCATGCTGGAGGCCACTGAGTTGGATTCCCGCCCGGTCTATTAATTTTTCGGGTTGGAAAATTCCTCTACTTCCTTTGGGCATAGGGATGGTACAGGCATAGAAAGCTCTCAATTAAACTGTGAAAGTACCTCACAGAACACTAAGTTGAGAGCAGGCAAAGATCTAATATGCTATAAGCAATAAGCTTGAAATACTATGTACCTAGTAGTATACAAATGGTATTTTTAGGCAATGAAAACAGTTTTTTTTTGTCGCGGATCAGTATTTGAAGTCGTGGATTTCGCGGATCAAATTTAGAAATTTTTTTGACCTAGAACTACAAATATGCTGAATTTTGCGTGTACGTAATATCAAATTATTTTAAGCGCTTGCCTGAAATTGACAAGCTAGTTGAAAATGGCCAACTAATTAGCACATTTATAATTCGAAATTTCCGAAGTGTTGTTATAGTTTTAAAATGTTAAACCATATTGCCAATAAACGACTGCGTGCTTGAGAAAGTTATTTACGATATGGCCCAAAATTTCCGCATTTGGGCCTTCACTCTATGGCTCGTGAACTTTTCCCTTTGTGAACTACAACCCAAATTTGAGTTCTGTTTACCCATAATCGCAAAAAAGTGCAGGAATTCAGTGATGACTAAATTTGCCTCATGTTTTCCTGTGGAAAACCTCAAAATGAGGAAAATTGACGTAAATGTTACTGTCTAGAAGCAGTACCCGGCGAATAGGAACGACCCAAATTTGAGTTTAGTCCACTCATAATCGCCAAAAGTGCTGAAACCTCAGCGATGAGTGAATTCGCCTTATGGTATCCTGTGGAAAATTTTACTCAGTCTTGTATAGGGTTACCATATCAAAAAAATGAAAAGGAGAACATTTCATTTGAGGTTTGGAGACTAAGGAGGACAATGATTCCTTTTCTTAACATTAAATGAGGACAATCCCCCTAATTCTGCGAGTCACGTGACTCTCTGTCACCGGTGAGGTGACAATTGTCACCTCGTGTGAGGTGACTCTCCGTGCAAATCAAATGGAGAGTCACCTCACCGGTGACAGAGAGTCACGTGACTCGCAGAATAGGGGTGAATGAGTTTTTATCAAACGTTTTAATAATATGTGCGCTATCACATAATTCATGATTTGCAAAGGTTCAATTGAGATTGTTCATAATTTGTAGTCGTTACCAATTCAATTCATCTTCTCGTTATACTTCTGAAAAATGCATCAAACTAGCCTTCATAATTCATCGATGATTGAAACCAACATGGAACATCTAAGCAACCTGTTAATTTTACCATCGATTCAGCATACGCCGCTGCCATAGTGGGAGCGAAGAGGCGTGATTAGCGTACTATTTATGCGTGCCTCTTCGGTCTCAGTATGGCAGTGGCCTAAACAAAATACTCAAAATCCCATAGAACCAGAACGTCAAAATCGAACACATGTTAGATTCAATAATGGTGGCTGTATTCCACTTGGTGAATTTTAACTTAAATTTGTCAGATATGAAATTTTCTAATAAACCTGCTATTGTACCAGACTTATTTCTGGTAAACCAGGAATCAAAATTTGACAAACACCTTCTCAAAAATCACACGATCAACAACAGAGAGATTTTCTAACATTATAATTTATTTTTGAAATGTCAAATTTTAGTAAAATAAATTATAATGTTCGTAAATCTATCTGTTGTTGTCCGATTTTCAAGAAATTATTTGTCAAAATTGATTCCTGGTTTGTCTGAAATAAGTCTGGTACAATAGCAGGTTTATTTGAAAATTTTCCATCTGTCAAATATAAGTTAAAATTCACCAAATGAACCGCACCCAAAATGCGGGGGGGTTGACAGCTGTAGTTGCTCTTAGTCCCACCTTCGAATGACATTTGCTAGATAAGATTAGGTTGTGACATAATTAAACAAATAAGCTCTGCAAACAACGCTCTTTGAAAACAATTTTATGAATATGTTACTGGAAAAAATGAAAGTATTAAAAAGGAGGACATTTTCAGGCAAAAGGAGAATGTAGAAACATTATTGAAAAAAGAGGACATGTCCTCCTTTAGGATACCATATGGTAACCCTAGTCTTGGAGTAGTACCAATAGACTGAGTGAATCCAATCTTTAGTTTTCTCATATTCGGGATTATTTTTCCTGGACAAACCTGGAAAGACATGAGGCAAATTTACTCATCGCTGAGTTCCTGCACTTTTTGCGCCACGAGTAATTGGTACCCAATACTAACCTAGAACTACTGCTGTTTAAAATGTAAATTCAAACATTACTGATTTTTGGCTCCGCAAAGTGTCACGCACGACTGAGCCTAGTAAATAAACGAACTAGTAAAAAAAATTGTGCTGATCTCACTGGCTTAATGGAACACAGCCAGAGTTGACTGTAATTATTTAATGGATATTTAACTTTTTTTTACATGAGCTATTTGTTTCATTCATATCGATTCATATATGCTAGATTATAATAAAACAGCAGTTATATTCGATGCTTGCTAACATGCTTTTTTCCTTCTTTGGCTTTATTGAGTCCCTGCACGGCCAATCATAGCAACTCAGCTACTGAGATTAATTGACTTACAGAATTTTCTTTCTATACGAAATTTACTCAGATTTGAAATAAACTGCAGTTACTCATAGCTTGTGAGTAACTGCAGTTTATTCCAAATCTAAGTAAATTTCGTATGGAAAGAAAATTCTCTGAGTCAATTAATCTCAGTCGCTGAGTTGGTATGATTGGCCGTGTACTGGGACTAACGTCGGCCCTCAACTCAAGAACAACATGTGAAAAGGGAATGTTTGCAAAAAGCTTACACGCTAACTTGAAAGTACCCATTAATGGGTTAAAATGCCCCTTTTAAAGAAAAGTGGCTAACTCATTAATGAGTAAATTTTTTACCAATTAAAGAGTAAGTATCTCTTACCTATTAATCAGCATTTCTTACCCCATTAATGAGTACCAGTTACTCATTAATGGGTAACAGATACTCATTAATGAGTAAAACATTTACTCATCCACTCAGGGAAGTCGTGAAATCTTCCAGCCCGGAAAATTCCTTAACCGGACCGGGAAGCGACTCCAGCCGCCACCAGCCTTCTCTTGCTTTATATAGGCAAGAGATTATATGGGAGGCTTTTTTTCCCGTTCTTTGCCAATAGTATAGTACAATAGTATGCCAAATAGGGGGGTAGAGCCCTCGTTGGTATGTCATAAACCATGAGAACAATTTATTTGAGCTTTTCCGGGTAATAATTCATTCATCGCCGTAGGAGGCGTTTTGCCTTTATCATCACAATCAGCATGCAACAAACAGACAACATCATGCCAAATACACCAAACTCGAACACATCTCCATTTCCAGCTTTGAGAAACACAAAACACACTCATCGAAAGTTTCACGCGTTTTTGATTGGCTTTCGCATTTCGAAATTGCTTCCAAATAGAACACTGTCAAAACTCTGTCCAATATTGTATTCTAGCGCGAACTAAGCGGTAGCTTCCGAGCTAACGGTGTAATCGAGAAACTGGAATCGATGCTAACGGCCTTCAAGGGCACCCTGTGGGGTCACCACTCGTCCCCACAGTTGGGACACATTCTAGTGGTAATTAGTGTGAATCGAAATTTTTACAATCGTTGTGTGATGACGCATCATCGCTCGCTTCTCAAAATTCAAAATAAAAATCTAGTTAGACACATACAACAACATCTGCCTGGAAAACAAAAAGTGCTTCGAATATAATAATAGACGTTCATTATTGGACCATAAATGTTCTCCTTTGCCGCGTCGATTAGTTTCTTAAGGATTCGAAATACTTACACTGCTCTAACCAAATGCATCCTCAGTCTGTGGTCATATGTGACATACGTAAAAAGAACAAAATTAGAACAGTGATCGCTCGCTCGCTCTCTCATCCGTGGCGCAAAAGTTGGAACCATCCCCATCATCGTCTAATAAGTAATTCAATACTCATACAACACATTAATCCCTTGAATGTAAGTGCTAGATTAGAAATTCCAATGCAACGTTCTAATGTAATTACACATTCTTATTCCGTTCGGACGATTTTTGAATTCATGTGTGTAAAGCATCATGAAGCTCCGGCGCCGCCAGTAACCTCCGGCAAGAGCGACATCATCTTCAAACGACCCCCTTCATGCGCTGTGAGTATCTCGCTGGAATGTGGTGTTTCTCGTCTCTCTCTCACTCTGTGCTCTCTTTTGCTTCACAACACTCACATTGCGCGCTGTCGTGTGTAGCATAACTCGTATGCTTGTTGTGTGAATGTAACTCCGGTTTGAATCGCGTACTCATACTCCCCTAGCGCACGTATTGAAGCCTCACAAGTTTCATACGAGGGAGAGAGCTTTACGCTGGACGGACACAAATACAATCCCGAAGCTACTACACCTTCTTCAGATGCATGAATTGGTGATTGATTGACTCCATCAAACCTCCAGTGGGGCCTCTTTTCTCCATCAGATTCTCATTTAGTCCCGTACATCCCAAAGTGACAGTGCGCAGTGTCATGTCATCCCGTGTAAAACAGTAAACTAACAAAACTAGAAAAACTCCCAACTTAAATATATACATCGCTGCGCTACACCTACTACCTATAATAGTGTTGTGTGTGATGTGAAATCGCCATTTTTTTCCGATTGCATCCCGCGCGCCTGCACTGTGAGACGAGACGAGAAACCACAATCTGCGACCCCCCGAAACGAGCCAGCTGTTCTAACTTTGTTATTTTACGTATGTCCAGTATGCCCGAGAGGTGTTCTAGAACGGTGTTCTGATTTTGTTTCCTTTGAAACAGGCGGCAGAGGAGGACAGTTTCCCCCTCCATCATACGGGTGGCCGGGACGAACAGGAAGAGGTACTTCACTTCCCCGAGCGAATATCACTACCAATTGTGGTACCACCAACGCTAACACCAACACCAACCGCAGCACAGGAACAGGAACCACCGTCGGAGTGTGAATTCAAGGTACCACCGTTACCACCATTGTCAACCGGATCGCCGTCGTCGGATTTGTTTGCGGATACTGTCACCTTTCATGGTAGGCCAGAGCAGGGCTGCTTCCTAGACCACAACAGTGAATTCCAGCCGTCGCAGAACTATCAATTTGCGGCTTCGGACTTTGACTTCCTACTGTCCAAGGGCGGAGGAAACGAGCAGGAGGTAGAAACGCCCCGCGATTCGCTGCTATTGAGATTTGATCCCCTGCTGAAGGTGGCACCGTTGGTCAACAGTGGTCGTCTCAGTGTGACCCGGGAGGAGGAGCAGGAAGAAGAACAACAACACTTCGACGAACAGGAACTGGTGTCTGTTGAAGGTAGTGGGGGATGGTGGGTCAACAGGGTTTTCCGAATTACGCAGAATTTCGTGAAATTTATTGCATTTCAAATTCCAAGGCTCAGAAAACCTTCACTTTCGGTACATTCACACTATCTTAAGAGTCAAGAATTTCGAATGTCTCGAATTTTTAAGGACTTTTCGAACTATCAACCTCTACTTTGATTGGGGTAATTCATTTTGAACTAACTTTCTGACGAATTAGGCTGAGGAATCTGGGATTTACAATACATGATTCTTGTCTTTTCAACTGAGCATTAAGCACTGTACAAACATTGAAAATTAACATTCGTGTTTCTTGTATTTGGGGGGTTATCCATTAAGAAGTAGTGTCACGCTAACAATGTCATACATTGACGCTCTAAGGGGGGAGGGGTGTTTTCTTTTCCAAAATTTCGTGTGAAAAACCTAATGCATGATCCCTATGTTCTAGCATATGAGTCAGTTTATTATCAGCACGAAAACGCGTTCGTCACCCCTAATAGTCCCTACCAATTGTTGTACGGAAAATTCGTTTAGATAGAAATCAAGAATAGGAGTGAAGGTTTCGACAGTGAGCATGCATAAGGGCCTATACGCGATAATCGATTTTCTCTTTTGTTAATAACTCGCTAAATTTAACGTTTCTCGGTGCGTTTGCTGTTGCTTTTGATAGCCAATACAACCTGTTACTACTCTGCATTAAACAAATTCTAGAAAATTGTTTCGCTTAGCTGTAACAAAGCAAAGAGAAAATCGATGAAGAGAATCGATCATCGCGTATTCGCCCTTATGCATGCTCACTGTCGGTTTCTTATATTTGTTTACCGTGGAGAAGAACACTTCAAGTTTCAATCGGTAAGCAAAAACATTATTAAGCAATTTTGCTGTTGCAATCAAACCACGGTATTAGGAACCAAAAAGGACGGCAGTGCCCTGGTTTGTGCACGTACGGTTGTGTACGTTATTAAATTTGTTATGCATTAGTAAAGATAACTCGATATGCTAACTTTGCGATAAATTATTTAGAAAAAATATCAACATGCAAAGCAAATTATTTACTGTCCAATCCACGGTATTATGGGGCTTCCCTTAGCTCAGTCGGTAAAAGTGCAGCTACTAGGCAAGACCATGCTGGAGGTGGCTGGGTTCGATTCCCGGTCCAGTCTAGGAATTTTTCGGGTTGATCAATTTCTCGATTTCCCTGGGCATAGAGTATGATTGTACTTGCCACACAATTATACTAATGCAAAAATGGTACAGGCATCGAAAGCTCTCAATTGATAACTGTGGAAGTGAATCTAGAGCACTAAGTTGAGAGCTCGCAATAAGTAATAAGCTTGAAATGCGAAGAAGAAGAAGACGGTATTAGGTGCTGCATGGAAATAGGGCAGGTCAAGGTATCTTTCAACTTTCCGCAAAAGCTAGTTCCAATTTCCTTAGAAGGTTTTTAACAACTTTTGAAGTTATCTGTAACTTCTGCTTGAAGTTTCTTCCGGTACTTTCTAGAAGTATTTGCTGACTTTCTCTCGGAAGCGTCTTCTGAATTGCACAGGAAGATTCTTCTGAATTCTACTAGAAGTTCCTCCTGGCTTCTACCAGAAAAGTTTCAGGCGTCCCCAGTATGCGTGTCTTTAATTTGACTCATCTTCTGTCGACAGAAGCCCTTTCGTTGCTGGGCGTTCGTTTTTACCAACTGCAACAATTCGGCTTCACATAGAACTTTCTTACGAATTTACTGGTTTTTCTTTTCTTCAGGAGTTTCTTTCAGCTTCCTCTTGAAGTTTTCTTTTTTATAAATTTAGTGATAGTTCTATCACAGGCATACCACTTGCATGTTTTTCATCAAACACGCATTTAAGGGTCAATTTAAATGTGTATTAGTTGGTAGTGCATATTCAATTCTTTTTTTTTTGCGTTTGACGTCTACACTATCTGTTGAGTGTAGTGCTTATTAGATTGATGAAAAACATGAAACTTTCGCTCACCAGTGCTCAAATGGTTTCAAATCGGGACCTGACCATTCAAAAATTTGACTTATTTGGTAAGAAACTAACTTGGCACAAACCATTTGAAGTTGTTTTGGGAGGCTGATCAGAAGCCGTTTGAGCATTGCGGATCGAAAATTTAATATTTTGTATCAGTTTAGTTCCCATACCATGTATTGAAAAAGATGGTAGCAGTGTTTTAGGCATTTCTATTTATTAAATAGACCATTTAGGGTCTATTTGTCTGTGGTTTTATACATATTGAGCAGGAACAGATTTCTGTAAACAATGACTTCTCTCGATAATTTCTAGGAGTCCAGGCACGCCCACGCTCCAACATAACCAACATGGTGATTTGTGTGGGTGAGCCTTGACTTTCTAGAAATCATCGAAAGAAGCCATTGTTTCCAAAAGTTATTACGCCCTAATGTAACAAATCAACTTCATTCGAGCAGTTAAAATGACGTTTACTACCACTCGAACTTTGAAATAAAACATTATTTTGAGATTTTTTCTTCTAGAACCACGAGAAAAGTAGCCAACATTTGTGCGTTTGATAAAAAAAAAATAGAAATTAGTTGGTGTTTTGTGAAATCGCTGGTAGAAAGTCATGCCAAAACGGCTTGACAAAGTGGTCAATTCCAGTCAATTTCAGTGAGTGATTAGTCACCGATCATTTGGATGTAAACAAAAGGTATTGTTTATCATCAATAAATAGTGAAATAAAAGTGCTGGTGGTTAAATCTAGACCAACAATTGAAATAGGCGGAACAACCAAACGTAAACAATGGTATTAAACGCAAATTCCTCGAGAATCAAATCACTCCCACGCAAAATAACCATGCCATTCAATAAAGGAAGTTTGCTCTATCCGATGGTGGTGTTAGATTGCTTCGATATGTTTTTATTATCGAGGAATTTGCGTTTAAACCATTGTTTACGTTTGGTTGTTCCGCCTATTTCAATTGTTGGTCTAGAAATATGATCAGCTTGCCTCTTTAAACGAGTTCATTCTCGTGTAACATTTTAAAAGGGTCCTAAGTAATAAATGTAAACAAATAGAGTTAATCGATACGAACTATTACTATTACGGATTTGTTACATTGGGCATTTTGAAAAGTTACGCGATAATTAGTCGGCTATGTTTAGAACTCATTTTGGGAACTTTTGTAAAAATTTGAGATGGGTAAACGGACGACACACGCTTTTCTGAGGTTACTCATTTTTGGATCGAAAATCACTCAATTTACAAAAAATACTACCCAAAACTTGAGTTCTTTTTACTTAATTTTTAGTTTCGTGCACTCGTTACTGTTGTCGAAAAAGGAATGAGAGATTCGACCCAACGATATAGCCCAATAAGTTACTTTTGAACAGTGTTGACAAAATCAGTAATCAATTGATATTTTTCCGCTCTCATGCGCTCGCAATATCACGCGATATTGGAACAAAATATCATGCTTGATATTGATTTTACAAGCTCCTTTGATATTGCGAGACTATTCACAACGTGCAAAAATCAAGCTGACAGTTGACTCGACACAAAATTGATTCCATTGCACATCGTTTTCTTAGAATGAGAAAGCATAGTTTGCTATCTCTTTTTAATCTTCACCGATGGCAGACGCGAAGGAACTGCTGCAAGCCGTTATGGAAGTTTCGGTTGCATTCGGGTGTAAAGCAAAAATCATTAAACTCAATCTCACCACAGTTTGGTGAGTTTTGTTAGCTTGATATTCCGAGCTGCGAAATCACAGCTTGTAAAATCAACAGCAGTAGTTTGCTTGTTGATTTTTGTCTACGAAAATCAAGCGTGATCTTGGGCGTTGGTGAGATTTGATTTTTTGATATTTTCCCAACACTGTCCACACGTCATCATCATGTGTCTCACGCTTAATTTTGCGCTTATTGTGAAACACATCCATTTCATGTGTGAATCTTATGCTATGCATCATGTTTTTGAACACTATGGATTTGAATTGTGACACACTTGGATTCTATGTGTCTCATTTGGTGATACCTATCAATAGCTTTGCACATCATAGTTCAATATTCTACTTTATCGACTTCCACTTTACCGACTCTAAAAATGAATCGACAAATATATAAACAAAACTGCCAGAGGCCAGAGCTTTCACATATCTTCTAATGGGTCTGATTTGGGATTCGGTCATGGACTGTTGGGGACTGTGCTGCTGCCGGAGTCTTCGTTCGATCTCACTGTGCTACGTTTGTTCTCATATATGAGGCGGGTTGATAGGAGAAAGTCACAAGTCTTGTTTTCGATGTTCACTTTTCTGAGCAAAGCGATTCACAGCGCATTGAAGTTTAAATCACTTTAAATCCATCTGTTTTGAACAGTAGTGTGATTCAATGTGCAATAAACTTGAATAGTAGATAGTGAAAGGTTTTCAACATTTCACAGTTTTAAACACTATAAATCAACGTGTATAACACTTTGAACCAAGGTGAAATACACTTGAAGTAAATGTGACTGCGCCTTAAAAAATCAAGTGTTTAAACACTTCGATCAAACGTGTGGAATTTTTTGAGAGAGGCTATTATGTTTTTTTTTTTTTTCAGAAAGACTTAATTTTTCGCTACAACTTTGTATCAGACGTCATCTCGATCAGAAGTGACATTTTTGTGCTACAATTTATTGATAAATTACAAGATCCAAAATGGGCGAATTTTTGTAATTGATTGTCAATAACCAGAGATCGAAATTATCGCTGATGTGAGAAGAAAAACAGTAATTTTCACCCGTACAGTGAATGAAAAGTTAAAGCAAAGCAAATCTCTCGAGAAAAGTAGGCATGATAATTTATTCTCACTCAGTAGTGACAGCCGATACTTTCCTTTCCTTTTCGGCATTTTTTTCGGTGATTATGATTTTTCACCCCTCTCGAGAACCTGATTTTAAGCTGTAAAAAAACCGTGTAAAAAAAGACTTCAGTGTATATTCCAATTAGCAATTTTCCGGTTTCCCCCCAATATTTTGTAGATTTTCCCG